TATATATAGTTAGACTACAATAGTTCGCACTGAAACTTAAGTGTTAAGTTGGCACTGGTTGGCATCATAGAATCGCTCGATCGAATTCGCTAATTATACGTTATCTGCCCCTTGTACGACTTACACGTGAGATAAACGTTAGCTTTTAACGGTCAAGCAATTTCAGTCTAAGCTCATCACACTAACTGATGTCAACCCACCCCGTTGGCCTAATTTGTGCTACCGAAAATTCTAACTAATTTTTCGCATCTAAAATAACACTTTATTGCCCTTATGAGCGGTGTGGCATTCTGCACGACTTTATAAAAAAATCATTGCTTGTTCATCACTTCTATGTAGTTTTTAGATTATTACAGTTCTGAATGTAAGAAATTAACCCAACGGCTCAGTAGAAAAATACAGAGTGTTCCCTCTTTTTTGGGACATTTGCATTAGGATCGTATAATCATGAAAGGGTTAACAGACTATAAAGAAGTTCATATAGTTTCCGAGACTGCGGCATTGCCACGAGTTTTACCAAGTGTATTATCGCCCCTTTAGGTAATCGCTAATGGACGCTGACAATGAGTTGGTGAATACGGTGAAAGCTCAGCAGTGGCCTTGCGCAGGATGATGCCTGTTTACCTACATCTTCTCCTTCTATACGGGTGGGTTTTGCCTTACTTAACCAGAGGCCGACCTGCAAATATGACCGGAAAATCTTTGTTGGATTATGCCGCGAATTCGAACGCCACTGTATCAGCGAATATCTCCTCTACACCCACAGCACGTACGTTGTAAAATAGAAAATTATGTTGGCATTTCAACTAACCAGAGAAATCTGTAACGCTTTTCAAAAAGCGGCCATTTTTAAATTAGTGTGTTACTTTACAGGTTAGCAATTAGTTTAGAAAAGGCGACCTCAGGTAAAAACATATATTAAGACAGATATACAACTACTCCTTGAAAACATTAGCATTCTACTCTCTGCAACAACTTCATGCATAAATCGAGCGACCGACCATATTCGAGGAGTCGAACGTTTACCGTTATGGAAAGATGGATCGATGCTTCGTCCGCTACCCGAAGACGGTTGCCGTATGTCTGCAACTACATTTCCCATTCATTATCGTATTAAGTAACGCAAAATAATGAAAACGAAAATTTACTTCACCGGTTCTTTCCTAGTGAATGAGATAATACTTCGTAAAACAAGGCTTAAAAATTTGTCCAATAAAAGGCCCTGGAGTAACCCAGATTAACTGTCTGTTAAACGGAGGGTCATACATTTTTCGTGCGCAAAAAAACCGGACAACACGCTTAGCAGTTATGAGTAGTAAAACAAAATGTCTCGCCCAAAAAATGTCTTTATCGAAGCAAACAATTCGAGCAGCTTCCCAGCACAAGATGAAATGAAGTACCACATTTCAACAAGTTTCCAACAAATTTCAACACATCAGTAGCGCCCATCATCATAAGAAAAGTCCACCAATTTTGAGAAGTCCTTTTCGAAAAAGGACCGTGCTCCTATTTAGGCGGAAATGAAAGAAACAGAAACGGCCGTTATAGTAAACTGATCGAGGACACCTTTACAGAAATGAGACAACCGATTTTACAACAGTCATTTGTTAGTAAAACCGATACTTTTATTGATTTAGCTAGCTGGTAACCTTGCTACCATTGCCTTGAGTAATTTATTCTGCTTATGTGACGTAGCAACAAGCTATGCAATAAAAGATGCTGGTGCAAATCGTAAGAAAGTATTAGGACTCTTCATGATCTTCATAAAAGTCTATTTATTTATATGAACACTCGAGTGAATAAAGCGTGTAGCAAAAATATTATTAAAGTCTTATGGGTCGCCGAAAGCCCAATTCTAATGGGTTTCTGATTTATATATATGTAAATATTTTATTTTTGATTTATATATATATGTATATAATAACGTGTCCTACCAGCCCGATTAGCTAAAAGCGGCTCGATTTTTCTATCTTTGTTTCAAAGGGACGGTGAACTAAAATGCCCCACTTGACGCTATCGAAAGGGGTTATTTTAAATAAACACTGCTTGGCTATAAAGATCAACTGTTTTCCCTAGCAAAATGGAACATTTGCACGTCAATCTATAATTTCACTGCGAGAAGTAAGTGAGCTTAGGAGTTCAAAATGAATATTTTATGGTAAACTGTCAGATTCTGTAAAGATGCCTTTTAATCATACAGAACTATTTATCAGGAAAAATCATTAGCAGAGTCAAACGCGAAAAACATTTTTACAGATATTTATATATTGCCTGTAAGTAGAATAGGGAAACGATCACGAATGGTCTGTATTCTCTATGTTTAAAACGTCGTCTCAAGTTGTACAAAAGAGTTCGCAAAATCAGCCCAAATACAACTAATGAAGAAAGTATTTGTGCTTAATCTTCAGCAATAATTTTATCAATATCTGAAAAATTTTAAAGCAAAACATTTTCAACAGAACCGAATGTCTGATACTCCCTTCTTGCTGTATGCATATATGAAGTATTGTTTGGGGCAAAAATAATAGGAACTAGATTCAGTACATTAGCTCTCTGTTTATTTAGTTAAGTTGCAATTGCTGAAGTATCGTGTTGTTACTGTTAATCAATTTCAGTATTGATTAAAAAACTGGTAACTACAACGTTCGTGGAAAAAATGCCAGCGTTCCTCGCTACCCAGTCAGCACGGCTAGAACTTGTCGATGGAAACCCCTGCTATACAAGTAGGTAAAACCTAAGCTGCACGGGTTATGAGAATATGTAGTGGTAGTTTCATCTACTTTACAGAGCTTTATTTAGTTCAGTCATTGCTATTTTGCACTAGCGCGCACTCCTAAACTCTGGCAAACGCATTTTCAGGGAACCATCTTTTACACATCAAAAAAAAATTAACACATAAATGTATCAATTTGAGCTTAGCACATTGAATGGAAATGGCTAGGTGACACTATGTGGTTATTTTGGAATAATTATAAAAGATCTAGGTGTTTTCGCTGGTTTTACTACACACTGCTTTTAAAATAGGTCGCCGATCGTTTATTCGTTATTGCCTCCGTATCTTTAGATTTCTTCGTCAATCGCTTTTAGCGCAGTCTTTCTCTTTTCGATGTTCGCAGTGGAAACCATGGACTACGTGGACGTCGGAAACCTCATGGCTCGTAAGACTTGCTGGTGTATGACCGTCATTGATCTACCGATAACGGCTGCACAAACACCTCAGCATACAACGGCCACGGAAATTGTGGTCAGGACGCCGGTATATACTACGACAGTAACCATTTTTGCTAACTCTGCCATTGAGACCGTCTACAAAACTATAAAGTTCTCCAATGATGAGGTCAAGACGACCACGCGGTATCGTTTTGAGCCGTCCACAAAACGTTCATCGGGGGTCTTCTCTTTAGAGAGCATGCAAACCAGTGACGAATTTGATAGCTCCACGTGGATCCCTGAGAATATCATCTCAACTTCGCGGCCAACCAACACAATGAATATTGAACCTTCTAGACCATATTTGTCAGTTAGTCAAGCAAGTGAAACAACGGCGTCATTATGGTTTCCAGATTTCACTGATATCCTTCCGTCATCGCCAAATTGGGATTTTTCCTCAAACCTATCATCGTATGACATGTCATTGCACTCCTTAGAGTCATCTATTCGAGAAGAAAATCTCTCTGTTACTTGGGACACTCAAACGACACTACTATCAAATTCAACGGAGCTCATTAGTGAATGGAACCAATCTCAAACGGAACGATTGAACATACTTACACCGAGTCGTCAAGGCATGATAACACCGGATCTAGGGGACAGTTGGACGGCGGGCCCTGATATTACACTCTTTCCTTCGATAATTGTGTCGTCCGAGCCGTTCTCGCCTCGAAGTATAGGTTTAGATCTTGAAGATTTGACTCCCGAGGTGACGCCGATCATTCCCCCATCATTAATTGACTCCGACAAGTCCTGGGGTATAATAGCGACAAATCTAAGCACTCTAGAAGGTATCAATCCATCGTATAAAGAAACATCACCTATCTCTATAGAGCCTACGAATACTTACGTGAGTTCGACGCACTGGAATACAGATGAAAATTCCGTTTCGCCATACTGGTCATCTGAAAACTACGATTTAGGGCTTGATCCATCGCTAAGTTTATCATGGACATTCAGCCCAAGTCTTGCCACAATAAATGAGACTGGGTTGCCGTCGACTTTCTCTAGCGAATGGCCTAACAAAACATCGATGCTCACTGTCGATATCGTAACGTCAACGGCTAGCTGGAATATTATATCGTCAGACGTAGTAGACGTCTCATGTGCTTCAAGCGAAGTAGTAAGACCCGTTTCATCCTTGCCAAATCAAAACTTAAGTGATCAATTGAGCATTTACCAAGATGAAACAGATGCGGTTTCGATGACTTTAGCGCCACTGCCTATACCAAGCACTACTCAGAAAACTATTAACCGAATTTCACCTCAATTTTCACTGTCATTTGATTTACCAACAACGGGACTAGCTTCACCGGCATCGGCTAGCCCCTCGTCAGATCACAGAGCGACAGTGGCCATTTCGCCAAGCACTCCTACGAAAATTTCGTCGGCTGAATTTCCTGCCTCAACTACATCGTTTTTCGACAACTCGATTTTACCTGCGGACAGTGCAATTGAGGATAGTTCTGCCAGCCCACGCGACACCTTGTCAGTAAGTGTATCAGAAGATATACCACAAGAAGGATTCACCACCTCCTTCTCCACATCGGTAATCCCTGCCGGATCGCCGACAGATTCTATGTGGATACTTGCCACGAACGTAACTTATGTGCCAACAAGAACGACCGCACAATCTACAGTTAGTTCTTTCATCCTGGAAGTATCGACTGCGAAACAACCTGCGACAGCAAGCGAAAGAGATACCAAGTATTGGATACAGACAGGTGAGTTGGAGAAGAGAAAGGAAACAATGTCATCTGCTGCATTAATCAGACGTGAAATAGAAAACCTTTATATGCGAATGCTACTGATTTTTGTATGGCTCATTGAAATGGACAACTGGATAACTGTTATACCTAACATATATCAAGAACGTTAGAGCAGAAGAAGACACATGCATACTGTTATAATATCAACGAGTTTCCTTGCATCTTTACAGAGCTTCGCATGCCTCCTGACGTAAATTCTACTGATACTTCAACGTTAGTTAAAAACTTGGCGTTCCTTTACGAACGGGCTTATGTCCGTCAGCGTAAACGACAGCGACGGTATGCCAGACCAACATCGATAAAGTTGATCTACGTCCGGAATGATTATATACAACGGAATATTACTCTTGTGTATGTGTTGTACTATCAAGGACAGCTGGTGCCAGCTTTTGAGGCTGTAGAGAAAATGAGAGTCGTCCGCGAAGCTGATATGGTAAAACTCCTGCAACATGGCATTATTGTCAAGGCTAAACGTGAGTAGTCAGTCCTTTTGCGGATCTTTCGGTTTCTCTTTCGGCCGTCAAGTATACGGGCCCGATGCAGCTAGACGCGATAATATTCGTGATCATTCTATGATACGTTCTATCCACACATGGCCAATTATTGATAATGTTAAACATTTGTATGGTCCCTCTTTCCACTTCTTCGCATTGCTAGCCTACGAGCCATGGACGTCAAGTGCCCTTTTGGAAAATCGCGAAGAGATCTGGTACAAAACCAAGTTGGCGTGGATTCTCGTCTTGATTCTCCTGTTACTCCTTCTTCTGTTGCTCCTGCTATTGTGCTGTCTATGCGTACGTACGCGAAAGAGACAGAAGGCCGAGGTGAAAGACGCTGAAGTTTCCAGTTCCTTTAGCCAGGGAGAAGGAAGGTTCAGCACAAATTCGGGTATCGTAAGTATATTGTGCCAAATACCTGGAAAGCCCTTTAGCGATTACTCCTATAAAAAATGGTCAAGCAGCTTGCAACACTAAAGTGTTTAAAAATGATCAGCGTCAATAAGATTTACATACGGAGACGTAAGAACCAAAACACATACAACTTAATGGGGCTAGAATTCGTCATCGTCATTTATATTCTGTAGACAATGTATGCAGTCATTCTTCTATGCTGTTGTGTTATCATATTCTTGTTACAGACAATGCCGGCGGAAAGCTTACGTTCATATCGTGACGCCGTAACTAGCCCAGTGCACTTCGGCGAAACGGGCACATACCGAAGAAGCGAGTCCCCGAAATTCTACGAGAATCAGGCCTTCGAGGGATCACTAGATGAGCCCAGAGTTCGACGAAGGCCCATCTTGACACAACATACGTTTGAAGCGACATTCGAGGGCGAAGATAACGGGCATGCTCGAACTGAATTAACACCTCCCGAAGTTAAGCCTCGCAGACGAATAAAAAATTTCGATGCTGAACAGTCGGTTGCCCCCAATGAACTGTCTACGTATCAAGATATTCGAATACCGTAAGTTATTGCGGAGTTACGATTATTGTATAAATTAATTAGGAACGATATGAAATAACAGAAATAGCCGTGCGTCAAGCTAATGGTATGCATGATTTCAACGACAGGTATACTATGTAGACACGTGTGTCAATACCTGCTAAACCTCCTGCTGAAGACGGCGGGGTTTGCTGGTCTAAGCCCCACTAAATACACGTAAAGTACGCTCCGTATTTGATGAAACGAAGAAAATTTAGAGCAAGCTTATACGTGGGTTGTTTCAAAAGTCATTTTTTCGCACAATTTTTTACACGTTATTTAAATTTAACCTATGCATGAGTTATGCATAACACTGTATTCGAAACGCCATGTCAATTTTTTTTCTCCTAAGCTTTGCATTGCGTATCATCCTATCGATCCCAATGTTAACTCGACAGACGCTGTAGTTGTGAACAAAAAATCCATTCTTTTGTCACAGTGCATCAGAAATCGAGATCCGACGAGTGATTAGTGAGCTCGCAAGCGAAGACGAGGAGTCCTCGGGAGAAAGGATCGCCGAAACGCGACGACAGCTCGAGTCCATGACCGAAAAGCTGAACGCACTTGTGGACAATAGTCTGTCAATTGAACATACACGCAGTAACCTGTACGGTAGTACACGGCAAAGGACGCTAGTTGTCCGCAGAGATTACAAACACCGATCAAGATCGGCGGATTCAATTGACAAGTAAGTGTAGCTATTAGTTCATTATGGTAACGGCTTATAAATTTCGTAGGGAAAGATTAGCATGAGATCTATGATCATTGGTCATGGGGCGTTACGAACTGTTCAGCATGAACGGGCCTACTGGAAATGCAATAAGTTTATATCTCCAGGTGATGAGGTTCCTTTTGACGTAAATGTGCGTATAAACGGAAATTTATGTTGGGGCAGGACGGCTGTCGGACGACCGCTTTTCACAGTTTCACATGGTATGAACAGAAATATAATTATGTATTGCTAACAGGTATCCAGGAGTATCGCAGGTTCCTTCACTGAATAGCCCGATCTATCGTGATCAACCAACGCAAACTTATAGCATGACCCAAACAAAGAGATCAACAACTCCACATTTCCTGGTAACGATACATAAAGATATCGCCAGAACCGAACAACGTATACAACAGAGGCAATTTGTAAGTAGCATAGATTTAAGACCCACTTTTTAATCAGTGCGCCATAGGCTGGCCAGAAAATTCTTTTTTCCCTGAATATATATATTGTAGAAGATGCTCTCGTAATGTTTTTCTTATGTTGCAGCAACGAACTGTCGAACAATCGGATCGCTTGTCCAGAGCAGTGCAATACCGACAGCCGGCAGAACACGTAATGGAAGCTATTAAACACGAGTTAGACAAAGCTCAAGAATCGAATCGGGAGAGCTTTGCCTAAATGCCGCGGATCGAAAAATACTAGCAACATTTATTGATTAATCGGCCATCAACATAACTGAGGATCAATCAGGTGACAAGTCATCGGATGCGCCCCGACCAGCGTAGATCACAAGGTTTTATAGGTTTCAAGTACGCAGAGTCACAACAGCTTACGCTGTAAAAGCGTAGTAATAATATTGCCTTATTAGCAAAGTCGCGGCACAAGACTGTATCGCAACCCATGCCGCAGGCAATATGTTTATAATGACATCAGGCAAAGCAGCAGCTAACAAAAAAAAATAGATAAACTGTCAGCCTTGTAAGTAAAAAAGGTCCAAGTAAAAACATAGGGGCATAATGAAAGCGAACAATGCTGGGCGAAATCTGTATCATTATTGTGGTCTAGTAGTACACACTAAGCAAGGGTTAACGCTAACTGCTTTCAGTCAGTAGGGACGCACTGAAGATCCATCGCAAGAAGTTATATATGTATACATATATATATATACATTGTGCTTGCGGAATCCTAATTAGCCTAAATGTAATTAGCAAGAAATCTACATTTTTGAGGCTTAGTACAGGACCTTGCGGCGACTATAACAGTACCTTTTAATCCTTGTGTGCTACGAGTATTGCTAAAGATGTCAGAGAGAGAGAGAGAGATACGTTCGTGATAGTTTAATACTGAGATTTTCAGCATAACATTAGGAACATACCGTTATACATTATCGAACAATAGGCTTGATTACTTCAACAAAGCCTTTGACACTTCTGTTTGGATAGCTGTCGCAACTGAGCGACTGTTTTGTACAATAAGATACATTTCTCCTGGACCGTACGCTTTATGAGTGCAAATCAGCCAAGATATAGATTTGCTTTAAAAAAAAACGTTGATTTATAAATTACACACTGAAAACTACTGACGTCTGAACGTTAGAACTCGGCTGGACTATGTACCGTACCTTGCCAATGAATGTTTTATAAAATACAATGTACCTTTTACATAGTAGAAGTAGTGTATACTGGATGAAATGTACTCTCTGTAACATTTAACTATTCCTAAGGATACTTGAATTAATAAATATTTAGATATTAGTTGTTTTCTATCATGTTCCTGTATCGTTGGTTATCATCAGGTAATTAAAATAGGAACGTATTGTCTTCATAATATATTTATATACATATATAATAGAACATAATATATTTATGAGTTTCACAGGGCAGGATAAACTAAAGAATACTTACTGTTTGACTAACGAAGCGTATGTAATTATCGTTACATACCTATACATAGCAATAGTAATTCAGGTATTTAGTTCGCTTGTGTGAATATCTATACATATACTGGTTAGGTTGCCATAATTACTCTCGTTCTGATGGTAATTTGCGTGAGCTGCACAAAAATAGGCTGGACGGTCCCCAAAATGGGCAAATGAAAGACAGCGAACCCAATGTCGTCAACATCAGCAGTGATAGATGCGATCGGACAATAGCAAACACAAGCCGTTAGCGGTTCAGCATTGAGTCTGAGAGTCCGCGTTGTAAAGCAGTATAGAATTTAAATGAAAAATAACCGGGATTCAAATCTTGATGACTTTCATTGTCTCATTCTACTACAGGTTGGTGAGAAATATCTACGTTTTACGAAGAGAGGTGCAAATAAAAATGGTCGAATCACAGGGAATGTTGTCGAAGCTAAACCCTTTCGCCAACCGCTGTACCATTCTGCCATATAAATACGATTTTTCTGTCTCATCAAAATGGCAGATCTCAACACGTTTCGCTATTCAGTTCAGCTATCCTTATAATGATGAGCCTAATGATGAATTCGTGATTGTATTTTATAACGCCGCTTAATGTCATAGTTAGTATTAAATCAAGCTGAGTTGTAGCGTTCATTTTCTGGTTTTGTCCTGATTTGGCCAGGCCGATCTACAAACCTTCAACTGCTAAGCATCTGCCTGCTCGTAGCGCCAATTCAGCCGTTCCCGTATTAGTAGTTTAATGGAAAACAAATGGCCACCATAAATAATTCAAAAATCGGAAAACTTTGATACCTAACGAACAACTTTTCTGTATTTGGCATGAATTACATTTCTGACCATTTCCATTTGGTCAAACTGATCGGCTCTCTTAGAAGATTAAGTCAAAACCTAAACGTATCGGAGCTTGTGTGTTTTTTCTCCTTCTTGTTCTTTGAACTTGCGCTTCCTGTAGATGGTAGTAGTGTAGGATGCATCGTTGAGTGTGAAAGTATTTTACTTCCTCTATGCCGGTAGTCTATTAGGCCGCTTCAGTATCACATAGCTCAAACGACATTACGTATTTAGGCCATACGAATTATGAACTATCAACTCTAGAAAAAAACGTTAAAACTTTGGCAATTCATTACAGGCCCTGCTCGTTAGAAAACTAAACGCAATTAACTATATAACAGGAAACGTTACATTGATTTAAGCTAACGATAAAGAGATCCCTTTCCTGTAAGCTATTTTTTTCCATGAAAAATTCTGACATTCAGACAAAACCGAAGAATCGGACACGAACTGTAATGTTACCATAATAGATGAGTCGGAGGATACGTACGAAGATGATATACCGCAGACGACAAAAAATATCTCCTGTCTCTTGACGAGTTAGAAATATAGGCGCCCTTGTTACAGAGTAAAACAGTTCTTTGTGGGGCCAAAGAATTCACTGAATACTTCTATCGTATCGGTGAATACTATATGAGTAACTGTTCATTGCGATAACAGGTTCTTTTAGGTTCCGAGACGTGACGGCTGTAAGGCGTCAGACGTACTCAATATACTCAGGAGGATAATCAGAAACCAACGAGTCACGAGAGCTATCTAACAACTCTAAAACTAGTTAATATTATCATTATGAACATTGTCTTATTAAATGATATGAAATAAAAACAGAAGTCTTATTAAATGATTTAATGTTTTGTTCGCTATTATGACGACTTCAAGTTAGAAAAATGTTTTTATCTTTTGATTGAATTTTTTAAATTCAAAGGGTAATTACTATTAGATGAATGAGTTAAATAATGCTATTAAATTGATCAATTTCTAATTAAATTTATTTCTTTATTTTCGTATCAACACAAAGTACTAGAGCGTTAAGGGTACATCTCACCTATCTAATTTGTCGGAAACATAACTATTCTTTTACTCATATTTACTCAGCATGCCTAAGTACATAGCGTGCTGTTATTACGTTGTGATTCATGTCTGTCGTGTTTCTTTGCATAACTAATTTCTTTAGTTATTAAACTTGTATTGTTTAAGCAAATACTAGCAAACAACGTTTGTTGAAACAACGTAATCAAGATTCCGCGCCCGATTTGTACCACCTCTTGATCTCATCGATGGAGAATTCCTTAACAGAAACCGGATAGATTTGCTCGTGCGCTTCAATTGGCGTCTCGGCCTGAAAGTTCGATTATAGTTTTAAGTTAAGAAACCCAGTATACACAGAAAAAAAGAAGTAGGTTTCAACGGATTTAAACTATTGCGATGTACGAACTGTAATTTGTATGATAAACGAACGGTCATGTGGATGGACCTCGTTAAATAAACAGTTCTGTTTGATATAGGCCACCTGCCCTTATGCTATAGTGAACCACGAAACGATTTCTCGTGCGCTATATGCTTTATTACCTGTTCTATGATTTTTGCGTAAGGGATCATTCGAAACGCACCATCGAAATACCTATACTCAGTAATACAACAAGATGCATAATTTGGCCAGTTGTACACATTACGTATCAGCAATAATCCGTACCATGTCTGCTTACGATATATATATATATATATTGCCTAGTTGTTACCGACGTTAAGCCATTTTTTCCGATTCGGATTCAGTTTGATGAGTCGCGCAGGGAAGCGACAAAAACGTTGAAGGAAAATTGAGCTTCACAAATTTTATGCCAAAATCAGTCAATAGATATGGCCTTGTAAGCACGATGATAAAGCTAACATATATATTATAGTAACAATAGTCTGAGAAGTGATGAAAATGACAACCAATATTTACGGTACAGCATTGAAGAACCGTCGTGTCGAGATACGCGAATATGCTGCAAGAAATAAAAGAGCCAATAGAAAGTTCGAGCAGGAAAAAATGATAGGTTTTGGTTAACATAAGGAATACTGCTTTCATGATCTATCCGGTGGTGCAGAACCAGCTACTGATGCGCCCCCTATTGTTGACCGAGTTGAGTGACAATGAAAAATTATCAATCTGAAAGTATCAAACAGGAATTTGTCCAAAATTGTTTTTTTTTCCCTATGAAGCATTGCCCCTAGAAATGATAATCAATGATACCAATTGACGACAAACCATTTGTGCTAAGGAAGCATCCATATATTAGCATTTATTGAAAAGATAGCTGCGTTAGCACGAACCGTGCTCGTTTTTTTCTCCAATGAGGCTAGATAACTTTCCACGAACAGTAGCTGCTTCCATTAAATCTATGTAGTTCAATTAAGATTTTTTTTAATATTTTACAAAGAGTATACGAGTGATACGAGAGTATACAATATACGAGTAATAATGAAAGTTACTTTACAACGGTACAAATGAACACTAAATAAGATTATATGGCAGGTAAGTGTTGTATGTTGCGGCATATAAATTCTATCAATTGCCTGCTCGCGCGTTCCGTCACAGAGGCAGACAGATCGTTCTTTTTTTTTGTAGTGGGCAAAAATTCGCCAACCATGGAAAGACAATTAGTGCAAATGGTCAATTGAGATATGCTTTCATGTTCCCTATCCAAGTGCACTTAGAAACGGTTAAACTATGGTTGAGGCATTTAATAAAACAAAGACTCACTACGGTTTTAAAATGAGTGAAGAGTTGGTTTTTTCAATAGTCAAGAATACCTGAACTTCAAATAAGCTTAATGAAATAGCCTATTAGCTTGTGCGAAAAATACATGTGTAAGTCTCATGTTATTTAAGATAGCATTGGTAAGTATAGAAGTTCCAACGATAACCGCGCAAAGAAATAACCTAATGTTGAGTGAAGGTCAATATGCTCAATAGCATTAACTGTAATGAGGTCTCTATGAATTACTATATATTTAAATACTATTTAATTTTACAAAGTAGCTGTTATCGTGATCAGGTTGATTTGAACGCGTCTTCGTTTGGTTTATACAAAGAATCGTCTGCAGTCAGTATTGGTATTAATACACAAACTATAGAATCTTTTAATTTCAAGAACTTGAAACAGATGATAACTAGGCAAATCTAAGGAGTTTTGAGCAATTTCTCAACTAATTTTTTGATCAAAAGTTTTAAAAAATACCTGCCAGCTTTTGACTCCTTTGTGAGTAATGTTTGAATGCTATATATTGAAAAAGAGTGGGTAGCGGAACACCAAGATCGCCCTCTACTTGCCCAGTCCGAAAATGGTTTAGGTCATACATTTCTTTCACAGATGGTGCTTTACCTCAGCGCAGAACGGATTCATAACAGATTTACAATAGTTTTTACACGTTCCAAGCTATTACACTTAGAAATTTTCAGCTCTCTTAACAGCCGGACGCCCACAACATTTGAAATCCTGTCTGAGATTTTGTTCATCGTATTCATATTTGATTATTCTCAATTAGGCCTAGCATGGGTTTTTTTTTCAAATCGATATATTATTCAGTTTTGCTCCTCAGTGCATATTTCCGATACGCTAAGAAGTACCTCTGCGAAAAGACTTATCTGTAAGATTTCAGAACGCTATTTGCTGAAGCTTGAAATCCGACAGAACTCAGGCTGAGGGAACGTAATGCATTTGTGTTATTGTTCAATACCTTGAAAATAATTATTGATTTTTATATGTAATGTAAATGTGCGTATATGTAGTCAGCTGTGCGACGCCTGGAGCAATACGGCTGTATTGCTTGGATAACGCGGCAATATATCTAACCAGACAAAGATTCTCTCTTCTAGATTTCTAGTCCGCTTTCCCATAAGTCACTATGCGTGCAACGCATCACAATTCATTCCCAATCATTTTGCCAAAACTCAGAAATCGTACCTGAATGAAACCTCATAGACCCTTACTATCAAACTCTGCTTATAAGCGAGT